GTAATTCCATCGCACCTAATCCTACTGACACTGCATTGCATATCTTGGGGTGATAGAACATCGGATAGGCCCATCCGATACAAATATCTTGGCAGTGTCAGTACATGGTCACATCAGGAACTATTCAGGCAGGTTGCAGTATTAAACCAAATCACCATTACACAATTCATTCTTCAGCCCAGATGTCATGGTGGGGGCCTCTGTTAGGTGTTTCGGAATTCCCAGGTGAGCGTATCTGTGGATTTTTGCAGAGAATTAACACAAATGGAAAAGTTGGTAAGTTCTTCAATTGAACTTGTGTAGATGAGGCCTTTTACTGACCAGTGTTTTCAATATCTCCAGAGGAGATGGTGCAGACAATCATGCATCAATTCTGTCAATCACAGTGGCTGGTGTGCAAAGCCCCATCAGATGAGGAAGCAGAGAATAATATTTGGCGAAATATCAGTAGTCTCTTTGAAATGGATGATAAAACATACCTAGAACTGCTGAACTATCACCAAACTAAGGATCCAGTTTGGACTGATTAGTGAGTGCTTCCATATCCAGACAGGTCTCACATCCTGTCAGCATATGCACACAAGGTTGGTGCATCAATTGGGCAGGAAGTTATGCTGTACAGTAAAAACAATGCATCAAACATTGTGAAGGTGAAATTAGATGGAAAGTACACATGAGCAAAGGTGCTCCATGTATTGATCTTGAAGGAATCAAGAGAAAGAGTGGTGATGGTAAGATGGTTGGAGGAAGTGAGGGATCCAGCCCTTGATCAGATTTTTGAGTGAATGAGGATGATCCAAGTGTTTCAAGGGGCACAAAACCAGTTTATCCCTGCTTCATCTGTTGTATGTACTCTTTCTCATCGAGAGTTGCCTGCTCAGGCTCTTGGTTCAAATTCATGAAACATTTTGCTAATGGTTGGGAATCCTGAGGAACTTCAGGCTTGGTGTAAGGATGATTTAGATGGTATGGGCATGCAATATGTGGAGGAAAATTTTATGGATGTTGATACTTATTTGACAATGACATGATGGTCTTTTTTCTATTTCTTGTGGCAATTTTTTTTATTTCCATTTCAGTTTTTTCTCTCACTTCTCTCATTTGTATTTTCCTTACTTGTCAGTTGTGATCAAATACACTGCCAAGATATTTGTATCGGATAGGCCTATCCGATACAAATATCTTGGCAGTGTCTTGTTTTACACAACAAAGAAAAAAAGGAATCAAGCACAAAACAACTGGGTCATAGCACTGTGAGTTGTTTGAATCACCATACTCCCACTTGTCCAATCTACCAGCAATCCAAAGCAAAACTTCCCTTGTTTTTATCTCAGGTCTCAGATGCCTATAAATGCAGCATTTGTGTGCCCTGCTTTGTTTGGCAGGCTCTTTCCTTTATCTACCCCCTCCTGAGGTTTTATTTCTTTAGTCAATATTCACTTACAGAATGCCTTTCTCCTGCTGTCATAGTTCTTCTCAGTCCTCTCTCCTCTCAAATTTCTTCACCATGAACATACTGGCAAACTTGCAAGAAATTCCGAAGAAAAATTACAAAGCTCAACAAGAACAAATAGCAATGCAAAATCAGATTATCACTCAAATGCAAGAGCAAGCCTCCATGCAAGACCTAGCCTATGAACAACTCCTGACTCAATTCCAATCTGCCAGTTCCATCTCATCACCCAAGAAAAAGGGTAAGGCAAGAGCATTGACAGGTTCAATCCAAAATCAAAAGTCAACCAACTTGTCCACCAAGCCCAGTCAAACCACCTCATCAAGGAAGAAGGTGCCTTCAAAGCCAGCTGCCTTTTCATCAACACCCTGGAAACAACCTTCAAGAGCAACTGGCCCTAAATCAGCAAATTCCTGTGTTCAACTGTCTG